ATAAAGCAAAAGGTTTCTGCTGCACTGCCCTGTTGAGGGTGAAACTATTATTGTTAATGATAATACTTATATTTTAACATATACATTGAAGAACTGTTATGAAAATAAGAAAAATCATTAAATGCTAATGAATTATCATAATAATATGTTAAAAGGCAGATATTTATGTATGTTGTTGAAAACATTACATTGTTTCAACGTACAGATCTTGTAAAAAATTAAACGTTGATTTAGAAAGTGTTTTTGTTAACCTTTTTCAACCATTTAGCATTAAACGTTGTTTCAACGACTGGCATTATTTCAATCATATTTCAACGTTGAAGGTCGGTCATGTGCCAGCTGGGTATATTAATCTACCTTTAGTGAAAGCTGAATGCCGATATCGTGGAAATGTTCCATACTTTATCCAGGCTCTCTACTGCTTCGCGCGAAGTTATGACGTATCCCCCTCCCAAAGTCAAACAATATCATTGGTCGAGATTGCCTCTGGCGTATGATTCGTCCAATGATTGTACAACATTCAATTATTTGAATCTGCGCGCACTTTCTTGATATCTAAAGCACAGAGACTAGAAAAACAATTAGGATGTTTGTTTACACGTTGTGTAATGTTTCAACCATTTTAATGTCTTCAATTCCTTCACCCCCAGTTTACCAAAGCTCAAGTTTATGCTACAAGAGCCTTGGTTGAACTCGAGCCCCAGAATAAATTCCTTGTCTTTCACACATTGCTCACCTATTGTAAATTAAAAATATATAGCACCCCATTGTAAAGCTTTATTCATAGTGTGGCGGTTTGTTCCCATCAACCGAGAAAATTGTGGAGTGGCCTAATGATTTCACTGCAGTGAGGGCCTTGAATTTTGTTGAATATAGATTGACTTTGTGTCTTAATGCTTCAACGTTTTTAAAGTGGATTTACAGCCTTTACTTTTAAATTGAATCACATATTTTCTTCTCAAATAAGCATATGAGATACGTGTCAATATAGTATATGGTCAGAAAATCACTGTCAGGGCAGCATTTCAAACAGACAATGTCACCCTTAAAAGCCAAGCCAAAAGAGGACATATCAGCACACAAGATTCAAGAGTCCTTTCACACCAACAGGCAGACAGGCATTAGGAGGTTAGTGTCCAGCATTCTTGAGCCTGGTTGTCTTGCGGAAAAACTGTCCCAAAGCATGATGATCCGAGACTTGAGGCTGCAGCACCAGACAGCAGCAGGCAGCTATACAGTGCACGGGGTGGGGTCTGAAAATGTTGCCACTCAATTTTTTCTCTGCCACTTATGAAATTGTTACAGAACACTTCAGAATTGTAAACACTGAGTCAGTGGTACCTGACAGTAGAAACACTGGATATAGGATGCATAAACAATCACTGACTATTCTTGATTTAATTTTATATTAAACTTAAGCTCAATTATTTCATGTACAATAACTGTATATTTAGTTACACTGTGCAACAATATCTCCTGCTCTATTCATCCATCTTTCAAGGCAATATTTTTAGATTTGTTTCTGTAACACACAGTAATTATTATGTTCAATTTTTATTTACAGCATATCTGCATGAAAGGTATAGCCTACATAGCTGTTTTTTTATTTTTATTTTTATTTTATGTATATATTTTTTATCTATCACTCTTGTATCTGCACTTGTTGAATCTTAAGCTGATGTGGCCAGCAAAGTTTATCTTTGCTTCTGAAAAATATCTGCATTGGTGGCAGGGGACTTGGAAGTTTTACATTTACCCTGTATTTGATAGGTGTGAGGTGCTAACCTAACCCTAACCCTATGCATTAATGGTAAAGTAATGTAGATATATTGGATAGTTGCTTTTATTTACTATAAAACAATGTTTATATAAAGTGAACTCCTTGAATTAAAAGTATGTAGATATATTGGATAGTTGCGTTCAATTACTATACAAGTAAGTTTATTCAAAGTAAACCTATACATTAATGTGAAAAGTACGTGTTTTACATCTAAAAATCTGTACTTTGACGGGGAGTTCTTGTGGATGTAATTGATAATGTTATGAATTTACCAAAGAATACTGTGTAAAAACAGAAGACTTCTTTAATTGTATAATTGTAAGGTATTCCTGCAATAATTTCCAGTTTATATGCAGATTTATTCATTTGTTTAATGTTCTACAGACATTTTTTTAATGAGATTTTCTTTTCATTCTACAGCAGTGGAACTGTAAAAATACAGAAAATGTTTACAGTAAATATCTGTATTTTAAAAAACAGAATTATTCCGTAGAATAACTTAAGGTTTTTTACTGTAATTTGACGGTAAGTGTTTGGCAACTTTGCTGCCAGACTTTTTACCGTTTTTTTACGATTGTTTTTTTTACATGTATTTACCTTAAATTTACGGTTTCACAGTAAAAAAAAACACATAGTTGTCTTAATTTTAAATAAGCGATTTTTTTTGTCTTTTTACATAGAATTTAATGTAATTTAACATTCAAGCCAATTAAACAAAATAATAATCCTGTAAAAAAACTATAATTTCTCCTTATATGAATTTACAGATTATTACTTTTATTTTATGGTTAATGTTTTTAATAAAAGTTTTTTTCTGTATTTTAATGACATTTACACGTAATGTAAAAAAAAAAAAAACAGAAAATATCTGTAAAATAATACAGTATATTTCTGTGAAAAAACTTTTTTTTTTTACAGTGTACAGTTGTACATAATAATACATAATGTTCAATTTTAACAAAATGAAAATGAGTTTAAGAAAAATGTATAGGTTTCAATATTCATCCTACGTTTATATGACTCAGTAAAGCCATGACATTCGGTTCTATTTATGTAATGAATCATAATGCGATAGTATTATTTAACGCGCTATTATTATGTTTGAGATATCAACCACTGGTCGATAATGTTTGTATAAACTGTAAGTAACAACTGGTAAAATGTACGCCTATGTCATAAAAACCATAATGATACTAAAATATTCTCTTCTCAGCCATGTTTATAGTCCGTGACCGAAATCCCATCCGTTGTCTGATTGGCCTTTCGCAAGGACTCCTGGGTAGTTAAAGTGCGGAGCCTGCATCTATGAGGGCTTCGCGGAAGACCGCTTCAAGGGTACGAAGGGGGCGCTGCTGAGCACACTTCAGAGCGTTAAAATGCTAAATGGGACGGCCTACGGACTCGGCGAGCACGCGCAATTTAAGTCCACGAGACCGAAAGTCCGCATGAAGTGCGCCATTTGGGACAGGGCCCAGGAGTGTTCAAGTTGTTGAGCTGTTCGAACCACACGACACAACGTGATTGATCCGCAACAGGAGGTAACGCACTACACGAGTTGACAACAACTCTGTCACCCAATGATTCTATCTTGTCTACAAACCACGTTTTGTCATGAAAAATCACGCGATAAAACGAACCGGAAATGACACGAAACAGCACGCGCGCCAATACCCAGCGAAGAAGACGAAGAACAACACAACACGTGAATATGGACGTCAGACATAAACTAGTGCTGCAAACTGTTTGCGCGATGATTTGCTCTGGGAAAAAAACGCAAAAAAAGGGAAAACAAAGAGAGTGGGCGAAAGAGTGGATCCGAATTCGTGAACAGCAGGGATTGTCTGTGCTACAGAGAGAGTTGGAGGTGAGTGCAGTTTATATCAGAGATGTAGCTGCATGTTGGGATGGGCATTTTTCAAAAATATTGCATTCGAATATTCGGGCTCATAAAAATCGAATATTCGAATATTCGTTTATTTAAATGACGTTTAACGAAAAAGACGTTATTCTTTAAGTAATTTTTTTTTTTACGTTTTTGTCACCATTTCTGAACAAGCTTACAATTAACACAACAAGCCCACAAATATATGTTAACGTTTTCTTTTAGTTGAAAACATTAAACAGTAGGCCTATGTGTAAACAAAAAATATAAAAAACAAAAGCATTAATAAAAGCATGCTCAAGCAGCGCGAACGGGAAAAAAAAGCCTAATAAAGCAGATTGCGCCAGATATCGTACAGAGCGTACACACACTCGAGTCAGCATATTATCGTGTTTATATTGTTTCACGTTTATATTGAGAAAAACAATATCCACATGCAGGGGCGCCGCCAGCAATTTATGCTCGAGTGAGAAAAGGTGCTTCGCTGACAGACGCTTCAGAGACACAAAGATAACGGTGTTCTAAGTTTCTAACAGCACTTTGCGTTTTCTGTTCTTAAAACGGTCTCCCTCAACAAAACTTAAAGGAAGTATATGTCTCAAAATCATTTTGCTATAAGATAAGTTATCATCTCGGATCACGCGGGGTCCAGCTGCGCTGCAGTCGTGAATGTCTGCAGTGTTGGACAGCTGTCTTTCCTCATTCGACTGTTTGGATTTCATGTGATTTCTCATTGTGGTGATGATATTATATAACTCAGATTAAATAATTAATTTGATCAAAAGTAATTCCATTTAGTAAGATCATTTTCAAGTAATTCCAAACTTCGCGAGGCAGACGACAACATTATGTGATCAAATACACACAACTTGTTAACACACTCCACAGCGCCACCCAGTGCATTTAATTATAACTGCGAGGCGAGCTAGTGCTTGGGATTTATCATGGATTCACTGCATTTACGGCCAGCAAAACAACGTAGTAAAATTCGAATAGTATTTTATTTTTCAAATAATAATTACAGATCGAATATTCGTGCACATCCCTAGTTTTTACCTGGGGACCTCAACCCATGCCTTGCTCTGATTGGCTGTAGCTCATCATGACATCACTTGAGGTTGAGTCGTGTGACAGCTCTGGATATCTAACATGCTAGATATTTTTCTGGGTTCGGCGACACTTCTGTGAGCGTCTTTGATGCGTTGTTGGCTCTATCATACTAACAGATTGGTGAGCGTTCATCACCCGCTAATCTCCCGAGATTTGCACGCGATAACACCGTGACCTGTCGGCGAGCTCAACGATTTGCAAATCGGGCTTAAAATCATGCAGTGTGAACTAGGCTTTAGACAACTTCGGACAATGCTTTTTCTCATGTCGCACTAGAGCAGAAAAATGGCTGAAACTTCTCCCACATGAAGAGCACTGGTGCGGTTTCTCTCCAGTATGAACTCTCTCATGATCTTTCAGGGTTCCTGTCTGAGTGAAACTTTTTCCACAGTGTGGACACTTGTACGGTTTCTCTCCAGTATGAACTCTCTGGTGTGTTTTTAAGTTGCTGGATGAAGTGAAGGTCTTTCCACAGTCAAAGCACACATAAGGTCTCACACCAGTATGAATACTCTCATGCTGTTTTAAAGATCCAAGTTGTGAAAAACTCTTTCCACATACAGAACAAAAGTGAGGCTTCACACCAGTATGAACTTTAAGGTGTCTTCTTAAGCCTGATTCATAAACAAATGTTTTATCACACTGATCACAGCTGAATGATCTCAATCCAGAGTGAGAGTACAAATGGTCATTGAGATTACTTTTTTGACTGAAACTCTTTCCACACTGAGAGCAAGTGAACGGTTTTTCTCCAGTGTGAATTCTCATGTGATCATTTAGGTGTCCTTTATGTCTGTAACTCTTTCCACACTGAGTGCATGTATAAGGCCTTTCTCCAGTGTGAATCATCATGTGTGTGTTCAGCTTTGATTTAGATACAAAACTCTTTCCACACTCAGAACAGGTTAAAGATCCTTCGACTCCAGATTTTCCAGCTTGTTTCTGTGTGAAATTCTCTTCAGTCTTTGAAACGACTGCATTTCCATCTTCATTTGTGAAATAATGAGGTTTTTGAAACTGATGCTGTTTGTCTTCATTCACTTCCATTAGATCTATAATAAACAAATTCAATTCAATTTAAAAAGGACAAATGAGAAACAGTTTATTAATTTTGCACATATCCAGTTTACTACTGACTCTACTAATATCTAGTTTTAGATGTTATTGTTATTTGTCAATTTTTATCTTAATGTTCCTCATCAGTGATTAAAGAGAATGAAGGAAAATACCAACCTATTTGTTCCTCTGTATCTTCATCTTTTATTCTGCAGGGTTCTTCCTTAATCTCCATCTTTACAATAGTATGTCCGTAGTTTCTCCTGGAGTAATTCCTCCTGCTTGCTTCTTCTTCTCCTGTGGGAAGATGGGAATATTCCCCAGCATTTAAACTCTCATGAACGGCTGTGGGAGCTTCACTGACTGAAGGAGTGAATTGTGGTCGTTGTTGCTCATTTAGCAGATGATCATCACACTTACAATCACTCGAGATTATCCAGGTGCAAATGTTTTGCTCAAATAGTCGTTTAGAAACAATTCCCTTTTTTTGAGACATCAGAACACAATATATGAAACAAAAAAATCATGTCTTTTAAGTTTAAATGAAAAAGAAATAAAAGTATTGAAAAACTAATAATAACATATATGTGCACACATTTAAATCCACAATCATACATAATGCAAACCAATGACAGAAATAAGCTCAGTTAGAACAGAAAAGATTGTGATTATATTGTATATCAATAGAACCTCAAACTTGACAATTAATTGAAACTAGTTTGCACATATTTCATAATATAACAGTTTAAAGTTCAATACAAAGTTTAATATAACAATATGAACTAATCTTTAAAAAAGGATGTGTGAAATAATGATATGTTAGGATAAATCTTCCCAGAATGTTTTAATACTTTCTTTAAACCAACACTAAATAATGTAAAACAAATAATGAATTTATCTTCTCAAAAGCAGTGTTATTATCAGAAATGAGCTCTATATTTCCAGCACTGTTAAACTATCAATTCTTCAATTCAGTTCATAGAGAAGCTGAATTATTTAAGATTTCCATTACACGAAAGTAGATGTTAAAACTTCATGCTGATTTGTACTCGGCTTTAGCCAAGATAAGCAAAACTAAGACGTAGCTTTACAGTAAACTATGCTTCTTCATCCATTTACGCTTCTTTCCATATGGTGGTGTGACTCCCCTTCTGTCCGGCGCTAACTGCTGCAGTGTACTTGGCGCGTCAGCACACACGACGGCTGCAACAACAGGACCAGCACGACAACCGTCTGGATTGAGCAGAGTAGGGGACATCTCTAGGGTCTTCAAGTGGGCACCTTCCGTCCTCAGTGTTTCGTCGACTAGCCCACGACACCTCAAGAGGGCTCGACAGTGACTCTGGCGTCCCAGAGTCCCCCCCCTCCGTCCCCCACTCAACTCAGCCCAGCTTACTGACCTCTACATCCCTCCTGCTGCTGAGACCTAACCACAATCTCACAATCTCTCCGCAACCCGACCATACGCGCCAACCCGTTTGACTAAGGCTGTCGAGCCCCACTGGTGCGTTAATATGCAGTTTCAGTGGCAACGGTTCCGTATGGCATACCACCTACCGCAAAACACAATATCCGCCCAACCACCCGTCATTCACGCAATATCCACAGGAACGTATACAAACAAACCAACAGACTCTTCAAGTTTTCAAGAATTCTACGAAACCGTAGCGTGGCGGCCTGTACACAGCCAGCTAGTATCTTTCCATCTCAACCACAGCCAGTTGCTGCTCCTTTCTGCTGCTTCAGATAAGTTCTTTACTGTGCGACGCAACTCTTGGCCACTGAATCCGACGTCTCTGAGGAACCGGGTTGTAGAGTGTGCCACAAAACCTCGACAACCCACTTCCACTGGATAAACCTGGACTCTCCATCCTCACTGTTCTGCTTCAGTGGCCAGATGAGCATACCGCAGTTTCTTCCTCTCATATGCCTCATCTACCGCATCCTCCCATGGCACTGTTAACTCTATCAGTTGAACAATGCGTGCTTATCCAGACCACAAAACAATATCTGGTCGTAGGTTAGTGGTGGCAATCTCAGGTGGAAAAATAAGCCATTGGTCAAGATCAGCCAGCATCTTCCAGTCCCTAGCAGCTTCCAGTTGTCCTGGGCGAGAATTGGTGTTAACATTTTTCTTGGTGGTTGCTCGCCTGGGCGGAGGAATATTGTCTTCTGCGTGTAATGTTTTGCTATAACAGGTGGCAACTTATTGGTCATGTTACGCTTGCCTTCTAATGCTAAAGCCAAACATCGCAGTACTTGGTCATGGCGCCAAGTAAACCGACCTTGGCTAAGAGCCACCTAACATCCTGTCAAAATGTGCCTTAATGTGGCAGGTGATGAACACAAAGGACAAGAGGGATCCTCTCCTACCCAGAGGTTTAGGTTCTGCGGTGATGGGAGAACATCATATGTTGACCTAATAAGGAAACTGATCCTACTCTCTTCCATTGACCAAAGGTCTTGACAGCCCATCTTACGTTGTTCCACACTCTCCCATCTCATCCACTTTCCCTGCTTGGCCTGGGAAATGGCCTTTATACACCTCATCCTCTCCTCCTGCTGTCGCACCTCGTTGACTACCAGCTTCCTCCTTTGAGCTGGGCCTGCCTTGTGCCATTTAGGAGGAGCTAAACTGAGCCCAAAACCCCCTCTTCCATGCTGTACCTGTCCCACGATATCCCTAATTTGAAGGGCAGCCTTTACCTCTACTACAGATTTCTTTGCTGACCACTTTCTACCAGTTTTTAACACAGGGGCTGCTTCCCTTACACATTTGTCGCGTGACTCTACTAAGGTCATTTCCAGTCTGACCTTGCTACACTTAAACTCCTCTGTTAAAGCAGAGACTGGCAGCTGCAATATTCCTTTACTATAAAGTCCCACTCTGCTGAGGCAGCGTGGAACTCCCAACCATTTCCTGATGTATGAAATTATCAACGCTTCCAGCTTATCCACTGTTGTCAAAGAAACGTCGTACACGGTCAGTGGCCACAGCAACCTCGGCAGTAGACCAAACTGAAAGCACCAGATTTTTAGTTTACCAGGTAGAGCACAGCTGTTTATGCTCTTCAACCCTTCCACTGCTTGTCGTCTAACTTCTCCCACCCGAACTGTGTCCTTTAGATCCCCATTGTACCATCTCCCAAGACTCTTCACTGGCTTCTCAGAAACTGTTGGTATTGCCTCACCATTAATGAAGAATGTTTTATCTACTACCTTTCCTTTAACTATCGAGATGCTCCTTGATTTAGAGGGCTTAAATTTCATTCGTGCCCATTCAATATTATCTGTTAACTTCCCCAATAACCGATTAGTGCAGGCTACTGTTGTAGTCATGGTTGTCATGTCATCCATGTATGCTCTGATTGGTGGTAGTCGTATCCCAGAAGCCAAGCGATCTCCTCCTACTACCCATCTTGATGCCCTCATGATTACTTCCATCGCCATGGTAAAAGCCAGTGGAGAAATGGTGCATCCTGCCATTATTCCAACCTCTAGGCATTGCCATGTAGTGCTGAATTTTGGAGTTGAGAAACTGAATTGCAAATCTCCAAAATAGGCTTTCACTAAATTTGTTATTGACATTGGTACTCTGAAAAAATCAAATGCTGCCCAAAGAAGCTCATGTGGCACTGAACCATATGCATTAGCCAAATCCAGGAATGTCACATGGAGCTCCTTCCTCTCCTTTTTAGCTGACTGAATTCGTTGCCAGATAACATTGATGTGTTCTAAGCATCCTGAGAACCCTGGAATACCCGCTTTTTGAACTGAGGTGTCAATGAAGCCATTCTTTAACAGGTAGGTGGACAATCTCTGGGCAATAATGCTGAAGAAACTCTTACCCTCAACGTTTAATAGTGAAATAGGACGAAACTGACTGATGCTTGTAGCATCTTTTTCTTTAGGTATAAAGACTCCACCTGCTCTGCGCCATGCTCTAGGTACAACCTGTTTTTCCCATGCCACTTTTATCAATTTCCACAGAATTCGTAGAACTCCTGAAGCACTCTTGTACACTCTGTACGGAACTCCATTAGGCCCTGGAGATGATGAAGCCCTTGCCTTTCTCACAGCCTGCTCTACCTCTTTCCACTTAGGTGCACAGACCTCCATTTGGTATTCTGGTGGGTTGATAGGTGGTATGTCTGATGGAATTGACATAGGCTCGTGCCTTTTTGCATCTGTATGCGTGTCCTCCAAATATCTCTCTAGCTCAATCCTAGATGTTTTTAAAGTGCCATTCTTCTCACTGGTGAATAACTTCTTTACGAATTTGAATGGGTCTTTATAGAGATTAGCCCTCGTACGTTCCTTCTTTTTGTAGCGTGTCCGTAGGCGCTCAGCTCTGCGTAATGTTGCCAGCTTATCTTTTATGGCCCTTTGTAAGAGATTGAGTCCCTCCTTCTGACTTTGTTCTGCTCTTTTCCATTGCTTCCTCAGCTGTCTCCTTTCTCTAACTAACCCTTCAATTTTCTGCTGCCGTCTAGACATTCCAGGAGTAGTTTGTTCTTTTTCCTTCCTTTTTTCCACACCAAACCTCTCACTTCCATATGCGTAAATGATGTCCCCAAATTTATCCAGCTTCTTTTCAACTGTACCAGTTAATCTTTCCAATGCAAAGCATAGATCTGTGTTTACCGTGTCCCATGCAGTTTTCTCACAAGCTCTTGGCCATCTAACTCCAGGCCTATGCCCGTTGAGGTTCTTTTCTCTCTTATGCTGGTTAGCCTGACCGGATTCACAAGTATGAATATGTTCATCACTAACTGTGCAAGCCAATGAATGAATATTGATGAGAGTTTATTGCTGTAATCAGACATTGATTAAATGTGTGAATGTGTGCAAATTACAGACAAAGGAATTGTAATTCAGAGATACAGGCATTTAACTTAAAAACTGAAATAAATCAAATCTCCATAATTATGCAATTCATTATGAGACTCCAAAAATGTCCATCCTCTTTGGCCAGTTGTCCGTCATCATCCGTTTCAGCCTGTGAAAGTTGAAGGGCTTTTTCCTGGTCTTTCTATTTCAATTTCAGAAATCACGGCTCTTCCACTAAACCTCTGAAGACTTTAGGTTGTTCCTCAGCCGTTCGACTGCAGTGTAACCGTCTCTGTTATCCGTGGCTCCTTTAAATGGGATGAAATGTTGGAAGTGTATTTAACAATACCTTGTGTTGTAGCAGGAAAAACAAAGTTGTGAAATTCTGTTTTTCTTATGTCTATATTTGAGACATAAATCATACGCTGTCACAGATTAAATGTATTTTTCACACTGAGTTTAACTCTGGGTTATCGTCGATCTAAACACCGCTTTTAACCCGGTTAAAGTAACGTTTCACGCTTGTATATTTACATGCTTTAGACAGTCACTGCACGGCATATTTTTGTAAACACTGGAAAATCCAGAATTTGAAGAGTTTTTGAAATACAGACTGTGTTTGGTGCCGACGAAAATAAGGTCTTTTGAAATAAGGTCTGTGTTCTTGCACATTTGTAGCTTCTGTGGCGGCGCCCATGCCCGCGTTGTATGCCCGGTGTATAAATCTGTTAATAAAAAAACAAAAGATTACTTGTCGACTCCAGTAAATATTTCACGCATGCACTTTGAACCAGCCCATCACCCGAACGCTGAATTTACTCATTACCTGCTGTCAGGTCTAAAAAACGGCTTTAAACCTGGCCTAGAGTGCCCGCTCTCCCAAAACATCATATGCAAAAATCTTCAATCCGCCCTCTTAGAACCTGAAGTCGTAGACAAGCTGATCAAAAAAGAAGTCGAGACATGCTTCATGATCGGCCCGTTCGACGATCCCCCATTTAACCCTCTGGGGACGGATTGGGCGGTACCTCGGCACTCATTTGGGGGGGTCTTTAGTCCGGCGGCTGTCCTCTGCTCTTTAGCCTTTTGGGGGGAGTACTCTGGGTTCGGGCCAAACTCCGAGCTCGGAGCCCTCCCCCCGGACAGCACGCCAAATACGCATTAAATCTTATCCACTCTAATTATATGTAAGTGTGAACTCGTGAAATTATGTTTTATTAACAAAGTTCGGGAGGAGCACGTTCAGTTAATTAACACGAGTGGACTGCACTCAGCAATCAATGATACGAGGTATATACACTCACCGGCCACTTTATTAGGTACACCTGTCCAACTGCTCGTTAACACTTAATTTCTAAGCAGCCAATCACATGGCGGCAACTCAGTGCATTTAGGCATGTAGACATGGTCAAGACAATCTCCTGCAGTTCAAACCGAGCATCAGTATGGGGAAGAAAGTTGATTTGAGTGACTTTGAACGTGGCATGATTGTTGGTGCCAGAAGGGCTGGTCTGAGTATTTCAGAAACTGCTAATCTACTGGGATTTTCACGCACAACCATCTCTAGGGTTTACAGAGAATGGTCCGAAAAAGAAAAAACATGCAGTGAGCGGCAGTTCTGTGGGCGGAAATGCCTTGTTGATGCCAGAGGTCAGAGGAGAATGGCCAGACTGGTTCGAGCTGATAGAAGGGCAACAGTGACTGAAATAACCACTCGTTACAACCGAGGTATGCAGCAAAGCATTTGTGAAGCCACAACACGCACAACCTTGAGGCGGATGGGCTACAACAGCAGAAGACCCCACCGGGTACCACTCATCTCCACTACAAATAGGAAAAAGAGGCTACAATTTGCAAGAGCTCACCAAAATTGAACAGTTGAAGACTGGAAAAATGTTGCCTGGTCTGATGAGTCTCGATTTCTGTTGAGACATTCAGATGTTAGAGTCAGAATTTGGCGTAAACAGAATGAGAACATGGAACCATCATGCCTTGTTACCACTGTGCAGGCTGGTGGTGGTGGTGTAATGGTGTGGGGGATGTTTTCCTGGCACACTTTAGGCCCCTTAGTGCCAATTGGGCATCGTTTAAATGCCACGGCCTACCTGAGCATTGTTTCTGACCATGTCCATCCCTTTATGGCCACCATGTACCCATCCTCTGATGGCTACTTCCACCATGTCACAAAGCTCTAATCATTTCAAATTGGTTTCTTGAACATGACAATGAGTTCACTGTACTAAAATGGCCTCCACAGTCACCAGATCTCAACCCAAAAGAGCATCTTTGGGATGTGGTGGAACGGGAGATTCGCATCATGGATGTGCAGCCGACAAATCTGCGGCAACTGTGTGATGCCATCATGTCAATATGGACCAAACTCCCTGAGGAATGCTTCCAGCACCTTGTTGAATCTATGCCACGAAGAATTGAGGCAGTTCTGAAGGCAAAAGGGGGTCCAACCCGTTACTAGCATGGGGTACCTAATAAAGTGGCCGGTGAGTGTATAGATTCAGCAGTCTCACCTCACTCCATTGATAGTTTAGCAGCATCCCTCCACCGCCCCTTCTCCACACTTCCAGTCCTAAACACTTACATAGGGGGGAGTACTCTGGGTTTGGGCCAAACTCTGAGCTCGGAGAACTCCCCCCGGACAGCACGCCAAATACGCATTAAATCTTATCCACTCTAATTATATGTAAGTGTGAACTCGTGAAATTGGTATCGGATCATTCCTAGATCAGTAGAAGTGGGGTCTTGGGGGCTAGTATTAGAGATCACTGTATAGTTTATTTAATAGGAGAGTGTCTATTAGGCATCATAATACAGCAAAAATAAGATCACTCAAGAAATACAGTTCAGAAGTTTTTAAAGAAGAACTTAGTAAGGTTAACTGGACTGAGGTGATGCAATGTGAAGATGTGGAGTTGGCTTGGGACAGGTTTAAGAGATTTTTTTTTAAGTATTGAATAAGGTGGCCCCCTAAAAAGAGATAAGAATCAAGCAAAGGCCAGAACCTTGGATGACAGCGAGTATTTAATAGGTAATTAAGGAACAAAATGATTGTTTTAAGATTTTTAAAAAGGATAGAAATTATTATAATTTAGAGAAATTTATTCTCAAAATTTCACACCTGAACCAAACATATTTTCATTCAAAGATCAACAGTCAGTCATTAGTCTTTAGTCTGCCACAAAAAAACAACAACATTAAAATCATGAACTCAAATGGCATTGTGAAAAAAAAATGTAGATGATTTGCTTTGTAACTGACATCAGACATTGGGCCGAAGTATTTTTTGCACACAGTGCCGCGACCAATCAATCACTCCTTTACGACTGGCGGCACATTCACTGTCCTCGCAGCTGCTGCAACTTACGCTCTCCAGTATGAACTCTCTCGTGAGCTTTCAGGTGTCCTGACCGAGAGAATCTCTTTCCACAGTGTGAACACTTGTACGGCTTCTCTCCAGTATGAACTCTCTGGTGTTTTCTTAAGTTGCAGGATATAATAAAGGTCTTTCCACAGTCAGAGCACACATAAGGTCTCACACCAGTATGAATACGCTCATGCAATTTTAAAGATACGAGATGTGAAAAACTCTTTCCACATACAGAACAAAAGTGAGGCTTCACAGCAGCATGAACATTAAGGTGTCTTCTTAAGCCTGATTCAAAAACAAATGTTTTATCACACTGATCACAGCTGAATGATCTCACTCCAGAGTGACGGCGCAGATGATCTCTGAGATTTCTTTTCTGAGTGAAACTCTTTCCACACTGAGAGCATGTGAATGGTTTTTCTCCAGTGTGAATTCTCATGTGTAGATTAAGATTTCCTTTCTGAATGAAACTCTTTCCACACTCAGAGCAGGTGAAAGATCTTTTGACTCCAGATTTTCCAGCTTGTTTTTGTGTGAAAATCTCTTCAGTCTTTGAAACGACTGCATTTCCTTCTTCATTTTTGAAATGATGAGGTTTTTGTAACAGATGTTTGTCTTCATTTTTATATGTCAGTTTGCCTTCTTCATTTGTGAAATGATGGTGTTTGTCTTCATTCACTTCCATCCGGTCTGAAACCAACATAAATTAAATTTAAAAAAGGACAAATGAGAAACAAAGAAATAAAGTTAAATCTTAATTTAGCACAAATCTAGTTTACTTCTGAGTCTCCTAGTATCTAGTTTTAGATGTATAGTTATATGTCAGTTTTCATCTAAATTGAAGAGAATGAAGGAAAACACCAACCTATTTGTTCCTCTGTATCTTCATCTTTTATTCTGCAGGGTTCTTCCTTAATCTCCATCTTTACAATAGTATGTCCGTAGTTTCTCCTGGAGTAATTCCTCCTGCTTGCTTCTTCTTCTCCTGTGGGAAGATGGGAATATTCCCCAGCATTTAAACTCTCATGAACGGCTGTGGGAGCTTCACTGACTGAAGGAGTGAATTGTGGTCGTTGTTGCTCATTTAGCAGATGATCATCACACTTACAATCACTCGAGATTATCCAGGTGCAAATGTTTTGCTCAAATAGTCGTTTAGAAACAATTCCATTTTTTTTGAGACACCAGAACACAATATATGAAACAAAAAAATCACGTCTTTTAAGTTTAAATGAAAAAGAAATAAAAGTATTGAAAAACTAATAATAACATATATGTGCACATATTTAAATCCACAATCATACAAAATGCAAACCAATGACAGAAATAAGCTCAGTTAGAACCGAAAAGATTGTGATTATTGTATATCAATAGAACGTCAAACTTGACAATTAATTGAAACTAGTTTGCACATATTTCATAATAACAGTTTAAAGTTCAATACACAATTTTAATATAACAATATGAACTAATCTTTAAAAAAGGATGTGTGAAATAATGATATAGGATAATTCTTCCCAGAATGTTAATACTTTCTTTAAACCGACACTAAATAATGTAAAACAAATAATGAATTTATCTTCTCAAAAGCAGTGTTATTATCAGAAATGAGCTCTATATTTCAAGGACTGTTAAACTATCAATTCTTCAATTAAGTTAATAGAAAAGCTGAATGAATATTGATGAGGGTTTAGGATTCAGGGGAGACCCAGACGCAGAATGAGCAACGGATTGATATTTATTAACAGAAAACCATACAAGAAAGTGTGAGAAGAGTCAACAGGACACAACGACAGGACAGCTGTGGGTGACTGCAGGAACCAAGTCCAGAGGACGACAGGTCAAAGAACTGCTGAGGACGTGACCAGGCCAGGCAGATGTTGTGGTGAAGACAGGGCAAAGGAATCATGAAGCAGAGACACTTGCTGGACACAGACCCTGGACCAGTCTAACTGCCAGCCAGAAGGAACCAGCAGACAGGAGCCAACACAAAAGGACACACAAGACAACAAGAGATAACAAAAACAAGAGCAAAATAAACTAGAACACCAGAAAAGAATAAGAAACTAAATATAACCGGAGCAATAGCAAGGGAAAATAAAATAAGTTATACAAATGAATAACTGGAACTAGTAAAAAAAAACAAGACTGCATGCAAGCATGAAGCTAAAGAGAATATAAATAAAAGATTAGTTAACAAAAGCAAAAACAAGAGGTGAACCAAAATAAAGCTTGGAAGAACTAGAGCAAAATAAAGACTAGGATTTGACTTGACTAAAAAAATCAGGAACAAAGAAAATACTAAAACCTATACCTGACAGAAACACTAACTGTTGCACTGACAAGCTCAGCAATAAAACACACCTAAAGATTACACACACCAAACCAGCAAAGACATGAAGGAAACGATCACAATATAATGGGAACAGCACATGAGGATCAGGTGAAACCAATCAAGGAAACGAGGACTAGACAAGTGGGTGTTTCTCAAAACCAAGAATGCAAAGAACGGACTTGTGTTCTTGGGGAGAACGCTCTAGCTAGTTGTTCTTGGAAGAATGAACTCACAAGGTGACGAGCACACAGAACGCTGCTGACAGTTTGAGACGATGTGTTCTTGCTGGTATTGCGCAATAATACCCCCGCACAGACCCCGGGTGCAGTACCCAAACATAACGAGAATTATTGACGATAACAGCCAGGCTGCAATGGTCTCTTGAATGTGGGGTAAAACGAGTCTGTGAGCAAACTGGCCGGTTGGCTCGCTAGCTAACTTAACACCCGCAGGCGCTTATGGAGATCTCACTTCCGAAAACGTTTGAGCACATTTTCGATTCGCCATAAATGTTAGTAAAAATGCCAATATTTGAAATCTACACAGTTGATTTCTCGCATCAAATGTTCTCAGAAGTGAATTTAGTGATGAAATAGCGTACGTAATTGTAGAAAAACGAATTAGTGTATTGACCTGCCTCTCCTTCCTCGAATGCCGAATTGAATGCTGGGATATTTCTGCCGTCAAGTTCACACAAGTTACCAACCGATGCATCCTCGGTAAAATGGGCGTGTCAAGAACACATCCGGGATATTTAACCGTTCTTGCCAAAATGCAAACTTGTGTATTGGGACAGTACTTGGGCCACAAAAGATGACGTTTCACAAGAACACAAGGACACAAGTAGGACTAGACAAGGACTAGACAAGGGGGCGCGGTAACGGGAAACAAGGAGGCGGAACAAGAGCAGGACATGGAAAACACAAACAAAGACAGAACCATGTGCTGACACACAACACAAACATAGAGACATGAAACAAACACAACACTGACAACTAAACTTTTTAAAAAGGATGTGTGAAATAATGATACGATGTTAGGTTAATTGTTCCCATAATGTTTTACACGAGAGACAGAGATTTGTTTAAATACTTTCTTTAAACCGACTCTAAAAAATGACAAACAAAAAAAATGAATTTATCTTCGTAAAAGCGTTTTTGAACAGAAATGAGCTCTATATTTCCAGCACTGTTAAACTATCAATCCTTCAATTCATTTCATAGAGAAGCTGAATGAATATTGATGAGGGTTTATTGCTGTAATCAGACATTGATTAAATGTGTGAATGTGTGCAAATTACAGACAAAGGAATTGTAATTCAGAGATACAGGCATTTAACTTAAAAACTGAAATAAATCAAATCTCCATAATTATGCAATTCATTATGAGACTCCAAAAATGTCCATCCTCTTTGGCCAGTTGTCCGTCATCATCCGTTTCAGCCTGTGAAAGTTGAAGGGCTTTTTCCTGGTCTTTCTATTTCAATTTCAGAAATCACGGCTCTTCCACTAAACCTCTGAAGACTTTAGGTTGTTCCTCAGCCGTTCGACTGCAGTGTAACCGTCTCTGTTATCCGTGGCTCCTTTAAATGGGATGAAATGTTGGAAGTGTATTTAACAATAGCCTACCTTGTGCTGTAGCAGGAATAACAAAGTTGTGAAATTCTGTTTTTCTTATGTCTATATTTGAGACATAAATCATACGCTGTCACTGATTAAATGTATTTTTCACACTGAGTTTAACTCCGGGTTATCGTCGATCTAAACACCGCTTTTAACCCGGTTAAAGTAACGTTTCACGCTTGTCTATTTACATGCTTTAGACAGTCACTGCACGGCATATTTTTGTAAACACGGGAAAAATCCAGAATTTGAAGAGTTTTTGAAATACGGACTGTGTTTGGTGCCGTCGAAAATAAGGTCTTTTGAAATAAGGTCTGTGTTCTTGCACATTTGTAGCTTCTGTGGCGGCGCCCATGCCCGCATTGTATGCCCAGTGTATAAATCTGTTAATAAAAAAAAACAAAAGATTACTTGTCGACTCAGTAAATATTTCACGCATGCACTTTGAACCAGCCCATCACCCGAACGCTGAATTTACTCATTACCTCCTGTCAGGTCTAAAAAACGGCTTTAAACCTGGCCTAGAGTGCCCGCTCTCCCAAAACATCATATACAAAAATCTTCAATCCGCCCTCTTAGAACCTGAAGTCGTAGACAAGCTGATCAAAAAAGAAGTCGAGACATGCTTCATGATCGGCCAGTTCGACGATCCCCCATTTAACCCTCTGGGGACGGATTGGGCGGTACCTCGGCACTCATTTGGGGGGGTCTTTAGTCCGGCGGCTGTCCTCTGCTCTTTAGCCTTTTGGGGGGAGTACTCTGGGTTCGGGCCAAACTCCGAGCTCGGAGCCCTCCCCCCGGACAGCACGCCAAATACGCATTAAATCTTATCCACTCTAATTATATGTAAGTGTGAACTTGTGAAATTGGTATCGGATCATTCTTAGATCAGTAGAAGTGGGGTCTTGGGGGCTAGTATTAGAGATCACTGTATAGTTTATTTAACTAGAAAATTGAGGAGAGTGTCTATTAGGCATCATAATACAGCAAAAATAAGATCACTCAAGAACTACAGTTCAGAAGTTTTTAAAGAATAACTTAGGTATGGTTAACTGGACTGAGGTGATGCAATGTGAAGATGTGGAGTCGGCTTGGGACAGGTTTAAGAGATTTTTTTTTAAAGTATTGAATAAGGCGGCCCCCTAAAAAGAGATAAGAATCAAGCAAAGGCCAGAACCTTGGATGACAGCGAGTATTTAATAGGTAATTAAGGAACAAAATGATTGTTTTAAGATTTTTAAAAAGGATAGAAATTATTATAATTTTGAGAAATTTAAATCTAAAAGAAATGAGGCAAGCTATAAAAGAGGCTAGTAGGTGTAATCCTATTATGATATTAGACTACATAGCCTATAATAAAAGATAATGAATTTCACACCTGAACCAAACATATTTTCATTCAAAGATCAACAGTCAGTCATTAGTATTTAGTTTGCCACAAAAAAACAACAACATTAAAATCATGAACTCAAATGTCATTGTGAAAAAAAAATGTAGATGATTTGATTTGTAACTGACATCAGACATTAGGCCGAAGTATTTTTTGCACACAGTGCCGCGACCAATCAATCACTCCTTTACGACTGGCGGCACATTCACTGTCCTCGCAGTTGCTGCTGCGCTCTCTTCAAAAAAAGAAACAAAAAAGATGCTGCAGCCAATGAGCAGCCGGCAGGGGCTGGCTACAGGAGGACTCAACCTCCACGGACAGTTTTTAATGTTTTATCAGACAATAACTACTCAAGATTTTGCTTTTGTATAATTTTCGGGACAATTAGAACCAATTCGGGATAACAGCTTAGATTTCGTGACTGTCCCGAATTTCTCGGGACGTCTGGTCACCCTAGAGACAACACAAAATCAGCTTAAACAAAAGTTCCATTTTATTACTTTTTTTTTTTTTTATAAATGTTAGTCAAAATACATGGTATAACCAGTGTAAGAACTTACATAACATGAAACCTTCCTTCTTAACTACTAGATAGCAGCTGTAGAACAAGTCACTGCTGAATTGCCACAGACACATTCACTTTTCCTGAGCAATTTCATCTTCTCTCAGTGATGTGTTTGTCTGAGTCCATATTACGAGAGTAATCGCCTCTTAAAATTTACATGGAATATCTGGTACCGTTTTTGTCAAAAGAATAAGTTGTTACTACTACTGGTTCATTCA